TCTAAGAAGCCGTGCCGTAACTTTTGACGCGCTTTTCCCCGTAAACGGATAGACGCAATTCGCTCGTAAATTGCGACGGATGCGCACCAAGGTGAAAAGAAATAATTCCGTGAAACCTACGTTCTACGCGGATCATGAATCCGAGCAAACTGAAAGAAATTTACGTCATGCTCAACGACAAAAGAGGACCTAAAAGCACACACACGCCCACGAGTTTTGCAACTAGACGAATTTTTCAGAGAACCGTACAGTGTTTCGCAAGCAGCGTTCCGCGCTAGCTCGCGACTGGAAAAGGACCGCAACGATAGGATCTCGCGGTGTTTCGCAATCGTTTCCCATTGTTCGAGAGCAACCACATAGTTTCGCGGTACGATCGAACCCGGCAGAAAGCTGGGTAGTTCACGTGACCGCAAGTCCCCAACGGGAAGGTAGCTGGTTTTTCCGTTCCGAGAAAAACCATTTCCAAAAGACAGAGATAGCCCTCCCGTGTTCGCCTTCATCTTTGACTGCGACGCATTTGCATCGACGGCGTCGGGAAACCGCGATACCTCTTTCTCCTTAGGCGAGCCGTAACCATACTCCTCTCGTCTTCTATCCCCTAAATTCAATCGCATTGCCAAGACGTTCACGTGCCACGATGCGCATACGCGTATCGCGTTACGAGACAGATAGCGAAGGAGGAAAAATTCTCCCGTGTCTCGTCTTCTCGATTCGACTCGCGTTTTCCGAGGAACCTCGAGCAAAGCCACCGGGGGTACGGTTTCGAAACTTTTCCGCCGTCACAGAACCGTGAAAAACTTGGGCCTCGACTCCGGGTGAAATCCAGGGAAATACTCGACGAGAAACACGTTTCGCTTCCACGTCGACTGGCAATTTTCTCGGTGACTGCTCCGAACGCGATTTTTCTTACCGCGATGAGGGATCGTGAGCCCGGCAAAAAATAAGAATTACTGGGTGGTGGACTCGACGAGACGCGGGAATCGCGAGCGAAAAAGGGAAAGGGTAGACCCGCGTCCGGCCCAGGCAAAAAATTATCGAGTTATTCGTGTTCGTAGACAAGATTTCTCGAGAACCCTAATCAGGGGACGGGCATGGTCGTCAATTTGACGCTGTGCATCGACCGGTTCCCGCCCTAGGAATTACGTACTCCCTTCTCGAAAATCGTCTTAAACGCATTCTGCGAACAGACGAGCGAGAAAGAAGGAGCGACTCTTCGTCCCTTTTCCGATGTTAAATTACAGTTCTGTTTCTGTGGCTTGTCATTATCCGAGCCCCGAGGCACTCCGTGCCGACGCAGACGCGTACCTATACGTGCCCTCTAACTTCAACTTTCCCTGAGACGTCCCTGCAATCGCGACTTCTTTCCATTCCTTCAATAGGTACTCGTTTCGTGTCCCGACGGTCGTGCTACGTTGTTGCGTTGTAAAATTCTGCACGCACGAATCCCGATTAATCGTCTCCGATTAATTTTCACTCTGGCGGTCAATAAGATAAGCGACTCTCACGACACCGGAAACGGTGATTTCATTGTACAAAATTAAACTCGATGTTGAACGCGATCGAACGAGAAAAGCGTCGATGCTCGCGTTGCAGAATGTTGCAACCGCGAGGCACAACGGCAACGCACGCGAGCGGCGATCGCGTGCCGCGATGGAAAACGCACGAAAGGGAGACACGTCTCTGGCAACAACTGGGAAACAACTTTCCGCAAAACGATTACCGACTTCCGTTACATCGAAAGCGTGTCCCCGCGACGCGACTGGTCCTCGTTCGCGTTACTCACGCAACCATCATTAAGTCACGACTACCATATATAACGTGCGTGCCATTTCCACGGAACAAAACGTTCACCGCTTCGGGTGTACGAGCAATTTTTCGCTGTATCGTTAAAACTACGCCCAAGAAACTCGCGGCCAACGTTTCGTATAGCTCGCGAAAATAAAGTTGTTCCTCCCGTAAATAAACATTTCCCTTCTTTCTGTTCGCCAAACTTTCCACACGACTTCGCCCGTTCGCCGGCCCGGACATATAATTGTCAATAGCGCAGTTGAGAAGAAAGAAGACGGTGATAACACGGTGTTCTTAGTTCTTTGGAGGCGATCGCGCAAGTATCATGGAACGAGAATTCGCTCGAACGAGCTTCCAGAAACCACGGTAAAAATACGGAATAAAACGCGGCCACGTTCCCGGTACGCGAGTTCACAATGGATGCAAGGGGATGTTCGAACTTTCTGCCGGTGAATGTGCATCGAGTTCGACAGGCGATATTCGCGCATCAATGGTCTCTCGCTTGCATTTTCGCCCTTTGTTCCTTGCGTCCGTCTGTCGAACGAACAGAAGACCTAGCGCTTTATGTAATTTTGTTTTCCTCGAAACTGAATTCCTTTCAGCGAATTCTTTCCTACGCACCGACTAGTCTTTAAAAAAGAATAAGTCTACGATCTATCACTCTGACGAGCTATGAATATTTTATCTTTAGAATATTGACATAGCTATTATGTAAAACGTTCGTTTATTCCTTATGGAGTAACATTTGACAGAGTAGCGTATTCTATTCTCGCGATATAAATAAATCTATGCAGTCTTATAAATAGCCGATGACACAAACGAGACAAGGAGATGAGACGTCGTACAGATAGATACCTTTCACTTCTGACACATCGAAGCGATTTTACGATGTTACATTCTACTTTGTAGCTACTGCACACTTAGTCCAAGAATTTCAATGTAATATATATCAGAAGAGTGATCTAAAAGTTCCAGAAGAGAACAACGGAATTTAGATTTTAATTTATACATTCCGTACGCTGTGTTCCGCGGATGAATTCGACCGGTAATAAAATGTATCGCCCGGACGTTCGCGCATCAACGATTTCGCCCTTTGTTAGCCGAAGCCGAACCCCCACCTTCCTTTTTCTCGGAATCGTCATAGACATAGATCGTTTCAATAGAAAAAGAAGGAAGAAAAAGATCTAGGAAAACTCTGCGTGAACCTGTCCTTTCCCTCTTTATTTTCTAAACCTCTCCCCTACCTAGACAGTGTTCCGAGGTGGCGAAAAAGCCAGCAGGTAGTTAGGGAAACGTTTGTAAATTCGTATCGGACACGTCGATCTCGAGTGTCGGCGTTTCGGAGAACGCGAGACGATTAATAATTCGATTTTTCTACCGTTTAGCTACTGGAAACAAAAACGAATCCAGCATACAAAATACTGAAAATGTAAATCAGTCTCTCTATTTTTCCCTTGTCCCTCGAATTTCTGTTTACTACCCTGTTCGTATAGAACAGGTGCGGAGGAGCCTGTCCCCGTTGGGATTAGCTCGAGTGGGAATCGATAGGAGACCGCGGGTAGAGTTGGACGACCCACGCAGGGAACATCCGCATAATTTCGCGCGTGTTCATCGTCGGGAAGCCGGTGTGCTTTAGATGGACACGCTCGATAGAGACGTAACAGGTGCGGACGGACCGAAAGGCCCTGGCACACGTCCGTTACCCTCGGAGTTTTTCGAGAACCGGGCACGCACACTCGTAACGTCACCACTCGAAACCGAGAAGGAAAGAAAGGAAGACAGAACCCGGATGAATGCGTGGAACAAATGTACCGTTTGACACCTGGAGAAGTACGCGGACAATAGACCGGATTGTATAACGTGCCACTTTGTTCGAGGAATAATAAAGTCCCCGGTGCGGAAGGGATTCGGCAAATCGGCCCCCACGTTCTTAGGGACCCTTCTTTCCGAGGTACGCTTCTCAGAAGCGTGTCTTTGTTAAGGCCCTCGGCTTTTGCGGTTTACGAAGGGACAGTCGAACGCGAAAGCAAGCGCGCCCATGGACCCCCTACAGCGATTTCCATCTCGTACCTCGTACCGTATTCCTAGATTTATCGCGGAATAAACAAGCGTTTCGTGGAAATGTTATTACCGTGACTCGGCCGGGTACAATGGCAGTGCGAGCGTAGCGATCGCTTCTTTAGCTTCGCTCGTTTTTACGAATATCGGCTGACAATCGGCTCGTTTGCCACGCTCACGAACACGGCGCAACCGTTTTTCCTGGAAACCTGTTACGCGTTCGCTAGCTGCCACGCTCTTTGACGAACCGTGCAATTTAGAGACAAAATAACCCGATCTTCCCGTACTTTTCGACAATGTTTGCTCCTCAAACCATTTTTCTAAGTCAATCGCATGATTCTATCAACATTGTCGCCTCACGGAATTTCCCAACGAATGTACATTGTACATACGTGCATATGTATATGCAAGCGAAACTCGCGACGGACGCATTACGCGTAATAACCGGTTTAACTTATGTATTCGACTAACGACGTAAGGAAAGAGTATACATAATCCGCAAATAGATTAGACCAACGATAGCTTTTAACTAAATATCGATGAAGCTGTAGGAAGAGTTTAAGGAAATTACATCAGCCCAGGCGCCATTCTCACACACACTAACCGTGACTCATACATAGACTGAAGTAAAACTAATTCGACTTTGCAATTTATAGATTCCTCATGTTGCCCTGTCCTGTCCTGTTCTATACACGACTACAAACGACGTGACGCTTGAAAATGGAAATAGGCCGTGATACCGAGTAACGTATTAATTACGTCTCGAATGAACTCGCAGACACATCGTTTAACCTTCGCTTGTCTTTTGAAACAAACGCGTGCTCGAGATTCTACGCGTTTTTTGTTTCATGCACCGATCCCCTAACTCAACGACTTATCTTACACGCATTTTTGTTTCGACTTCGAACTGTAATCTAACCTGATATGTTGCAGGAATGTTAAAATTAGTTAAGAAATATGCATATTTTGTAAGAATATGCTTTCTGTTAAGTTTCCTCGTTTGCTGCCGTCATATTACGGTCGAATAAATTCCAAGTGACAAAGAATCGACTGGTCTTATATGCGGTACCGACATCGCTCGACCAGGATCGACGTAGTTTAAATTGTTGCAATAGTTAAATTAAAGTACAAAGAGGAAAAACGTTGCGACTCACCATTCGATGCTCCTGTATCCTCGTAGGCAGCAATGAAGGGCTTTGAACGAACCGATGTTGGCGTATTCCGTTGTGACGACCTCCTTCGTAAACCTGAGGCCTCCCTGAGGTAGATTGTCGAATTTATGCATCGAACAATAGTCTTTCAGTTCGTTAGCCCGACACGTTGTAATCAGCAAACTTAGGACGATCAAACCGCGTTTCACCAGTGTTCGCGTCATCTTGAGATCTCGATTTATCGATGTATTCAAATGTTTCAGACTTCGCACCGTTCGAACTCGAGAACCGCCATGACGGGCGAGATTTTCGCGCGAAAGAAAGCAACCTCTCTTGGTCGATACCGTTAATGTTCGATGAGAAACGTCGAGATTCTCGTTGCACACACTAAACTTCAACCGATTCACTTCGCGATTCGTCTCCGAACACAAACTTTCGTCCTGCTCGATGTAAAGAGCCAGAAGAGCTGCCTGTTTACTTACGTCGCGTGTCTTTCTCGTATTAACCGACAAACCGTGTAGAACCGTTCAGTCTACTTCCAGGAAATCCATTCTTGTTGAACTTCCATCACTGTACAACAAATTCTCCGGAATTTCACTGAAACACAACCAATTGCAAACAACATGTAATCGTCTATGACATGGATGTTTCTAGTCAAAACATCGCGGTAGGTTTTGACGATGCTTTTTAGTATTACACCATGAAAATTTACTTGTAGAGAGGACGAAGCCGAGATACGCGTATCACGTGATGTAGCCCTTCGCGAAACGAAACAAAAACGAGCACGCGATCGAGCGTATAGAACCAGCGAGAACTGTGACTAAGGAGAAACACGAGACACGACGCACACACTACGGAGACCGGCGGCTTACTGCCACTCCGCGTCCGCCGCTGTGAAAACTCCCCGTAGGTCACGGGTTTAAAACGAGCCGCCTGTTGCCTCGGGCTGGTTCGGTCGTTCTCGGTCGTCCTCGGACCTCCTCGACGGGACACTGACGCGAGACGCCCTTTGATCGCGAGTGTTTTTTCCCGAAAGGATACAGTTTTCGTTCTTTTTTCTTTTATTCCTCGATTCGTTCGATGTTCCTCAAACTAAGCGCGACGCAGCTGCTGCACAAACTACACCGGTACTTCCTTCAACGAACAGCCGATTCCCTCCAAGAAAAGATGGATTATCGTAGATTCGTTAAGAAATCACAGGTACGTCGCATCTTTAATAAAATGACAGTAATTACTTCAATTTGGTTTGATTGCGAGAGAAAGTAATGAACATCGTCTAATTAGTAATACAAGTATTTATTGTTATGTTGCATTTGTCATTTGCTGCAGAATCAACTCGGGACAATGTCGATTAATTACGTTCTTCCGTTGCTGTTAGGCGGCCATTAATTAATCACACTGAACGAAAAATGGCGAAGTATCGTCGGAAGCACGTTCCTGTGAGCAAGGTGAGTTCAGTATCACGTATCTTGGTATGTCATTATTTGTCTCTTTTGTTGCTCTTGACAACATTTCGCGCAAAAATAAAGAAAGTAAGGCTGAGAAAAGATGAAGAGAATGGGGTAGAGCGAGGATGTCGCGATATTTGCTTTGCGTTTACTCCTCGCTTGAAGGTAAACAATCCGTGCGGCCAGTTTATGTGTACACGCACAAAAACAAATAACCGAACGAATATGAGTATTTTTTAACATAACACAGCGAAAATCTCGAGTCCGTTTGAGGCATCGAGTAAAAGAAAGCCTGGGATGTCTTCGTATGCATTTATCTTCGCAAGAAATTCGATTACAACGTAATGTTTATACGTATCATCTTTCCGCGAATACGATAAACTTCGGATTTCTGTGTTTAACGACATCCGCGAAATGATAGCTTTCGCGGATAAGATATTACATGTTCGAACTCTCCAGTATTATTCACCGAATTTGTGCCTCGTGCCAAATGGTCATTTTACAGGCTCGAGAAGTTCTATAGATATAAAATACATTCAGTACACCAGATCAGCTACTTCTTCAAATCATTCTTGCATTTCTTTTCGAACGACAAGTTTCACATTTTTATGTATTAAAATCAGATTGCGAGCTTGAAATAATAATGAGACTTCGTTGTCCTCTATCTCTCGAACGAATGCCTTTGTGTTTTCTCCAACCGTGCAATCCCAGATTGTCAAAGCTTGATTCCTTGGAAGCAAGTACGTACGTTGCGTTCTCCAATTTCTCCGGGTTACCCAGCCGCTCGCGTTGCTTGTTTACCGTCTGTGATTCGGCGGCAACGGACACCCAACCTCCTCTCGCGATGGGTAGTACGTTCACTCGTATGTGCACACACAAGTGCTGACTCGTATTCTAGGAATTCGAGTATGCGGTCAGTCGTTTCGTGTCGTGTGGCAACGATTATGCCGGATGGTCGCAGCCAGACCCGTCGTATGCATTCACGCGCGCGTGCACGTGTGCATACATGCGTATATACGTGTGCGAAACCGCGGCGGCACATGGGACGAACTTTTATGCCCGCCGACGATGAGTCTCTTTCTCGTAGAACCAGTTTTTTTTTTTACTTGTACCGCTTCGGAACGGAGCCTACGGCTCCACGATACGTCAGGCAGAATCGTCAACACCCGGCTAATGACAATCAGGGTATGACACGTAGCGTTCGTCGAGTTCTTTGATCCCCGATTTTCCAACGCTTGTTCAAACTAAAAGGCAGCTCGTTAACACGATGCCGCGTCTCAAGGATGATCCTCGCAGGTCAGATCGTAGGTCGTAGACGTCAAACGATACCTATATACGTGTGTCGCGAGCAAGTTCCAAAGCAAAAGACGCTTGCGTAAGCCGATGCTTTTTTCGGTCAGTTCTTCAGCGTACTTTGAAATGAATACTATTGATATGGTTGACAGTAAGTTTAAATTTATATCGCATAAGGTGCCCGAATGGGAGTAGTCTTTTGTGTAATGCAGGCATGTCCCCGAGCGAGCACTCCGCGGGATGTACTTGGGAGGAGACCTCCGCTCAGTGAGCAGCTGACGTAAGACATGCATGACCAAATCGCTATTACTCGGAGGGTAGCGCTGGCTCTATACCGATGCGAAGAGCCAGGCAAATATCAGAGAGAGGAGACAATATCATTCCGTGCTTGTGCCTATACAATCTAAACTAGAACGTTAAATTTAATTTGTAACGCGTTATAAAGCGATACGCTTACTGTGATATCGTAGAAATCCCGCGTTTCTTTAATTTAGTAGATTCGTGGCATTATAATTGAATCCGACGAAGCAGCGCGTGACGGTTCTATGCATAATTCGGCGAGCAATAATTCCATTGTAATATTCCTCATTATAGAGTCTCTGAAGTCGTTTTGTAGAATTATCGGATCACCCCTCGAACCAGACTTCAAAGAACGGTCGTGTTATCAATTAGAGTTCCGAGATCACGGTGCGCGTAACGAAATTAATCTCCCTTTAATTAATGATGTTAAGCCGCGTTCAGAGGCAGTACGAGTTTCCTGATTAAGACGACGATGCTCGTTCTAAGAACAGACATCGAAAGAACCAGTAAAGGATCTTCGCGGCCAGCCACGGTTTATTGAAATCTTGTGCCATAAATAGGTAGAGTTAATAATTCTTGAAATCGCTTCGCGACGGGTCCTTGCGAGTGGAAAACGAGACGCTACCTCGGTAGTAATTGGGAGGATAGGAAAAAACGCACGGTGTTTATGTAGTAATGACAGGTACGCTTCCTTCGCAATAAAAGTGTGTGTACACGTACGCTTGACACGCGTGATCGAGCACGCGTAAAATAACTGGTAAACCGTTTTCACGCGACGATACGAGGAGCGAAAACCTTTGTCCTCGTACGTACGCGTAGATATCTCTGTCACGGTACGGAGATATCGACGTTTCGTTTGAACATAAACGGCTCGCATGGCACGTTTGCCCGTTTTCCTTCGCTTTACCAAGAACCCGTAATTACATGGGGCACACACGCCACTTACAAGAGTTCCCGGCCTGCACATACCGGGTGTCAACCAGCTGAACGGTCCCGTTAAAAAAAGAAGCCGCCGTTACGAGATTAGTCCTTAGACGGCGAGCGCGGGCTCGTTTTTACTTTCTCGCGCGCGAGATTCACACAGGTGTCCCACGGAGGAAACCGTTTCGCTTATTCGACCGCTGTAATTGTCAGCTGTCCGTTCTCCGTCGCTTATTTCGCGCTCCGACACGACCGGTTTTCCTCGAATCGCACGCTATTTGTCCACGCCACCGTCCTCTTCCACGGGAATTAAGTTTCAAACCTATTTCTGACGGAGCCGAGTTCCCTGTCTGTCTGTTTCCTTCGACAGCTTATTGGCACGTCTCATTTACATCCGCGATACTAATTTATTCTGTACAATTTGATCAGATCGTTTTCTAACTTCCGTTTCGATTTCTCGTTATTTCACCATTTGTCTAGCAGTTGTTTACTTTGCTCGAAGAATGACGTTCCCCGTCCACCCGTCTCCTTGGACATTTATGTAATATAGACACTAATTTATTCCCTACGATTCGATCAAATTGTCTCGCAATAATTATTCAGTACCAGTTTCCGTTACACTTTTATCTAGTAGTATTTAATTTGGTCGAGTGAATATGCGGTTATCTCTCACGGCGAAATCTTTGTCACTGCCTTTAAAATTGTTAAACTAGAACGACTAGACAGTTTTACTGCTGTGAATCGTGCGTGAGCTCGTTTACAAACATGATACATTGCTATTGGACATGCTCGTGATAGCGTAACGTTACGTTAATCGCGGTTACATCATCGCGCTTCTCGGAAAAATTGTGGTGCGACGATACCGGGCAGAGGTGATCGAGACGCGAACGAATCTCTCAGTTAGCTCACCAGGCAAACTTTCTCGTCTTTGATCTCCAATTGATCCGTTACGTCCCTCTCGATCTTGTGGGTATCGAGATTAAAAAGAAAATCGACCGCGGTACTAGTCTCCATTTCTGTCTTCAACGAAAAGTACATCTTTCTCGTTTTGTTGCCCATTGGTTTTCAATTAATTACGCCAATTAAGGACGCTCTACCGAGCCGGAGGATCACGGTTGAGTCAATCAAGAAAGGAAACAAAAGACCAAAATTAATTGGCTTGCAGGGATTAAATGCAAGTACAACTGGTTTTAAAAAATCAACAGAAATCTAGCTTTATTTGAAATTTACTGTGTAGCAATGTTAGCGTTACTTCGAAGAGTCAGTTCGACTCAGTGAGTTGCCAGTAATGATATTTATCAAATCGGTCAACGTCAGGCCCTTCAATCCGTTGTTCAATATATCTCCAACAATGGGACTCGCGGTTTGTGATATTTGGTCCTGATAATCGTTCACTAGGCCGGGCACTATGTCGGAGATGACTTTGCTCAACGTTTTTGATAGTTCTGGGTCGTCGTACAATCCGGTGATCCAGAACTGTAAAATTTTTTATATAAAATTTCGGACCAACAACTAGTATCGAAAACTATCGTGATATTTGCCGTTATACGATACTTACATCAAGTTTGTCGAGGTAAGCGTTTACTTTCGAGTCCTTAACGTACAGGTGATCCGTTGTGCTATTGACTTTTAGTGAGAGCTCTGCCGAAACGGTCAGATTCTTAAGTACGGCACTGAAAGAGGAAAGACATAAGTGTGTATAAGTTCTTATCTGTTACGAATTAGAATTGCGCGATAGATAAGACGAAGCATCGGGTGCTCGGCGACGAGTTGCAGGGTGCAGAGACCTAGGGTAGGGAACGTTGATACTCGATTTCGATAATATTGCTTTACTAACGTTAGGGAACTGCAAAACCGACCGCGTGATACCTCCTCCACGGATCACTGAAACATTCTCTCTGAATTTCGCGTCCAGCCAAGCTTCCGAGCTTTCCCGGCTTATTCAAAGATGCGGTTACTTGCATAAAATACTCGACTGACAACACTTTTTAAACGGAGTCACGGTTTTCCAACGCGTCGTTGATTAATGTAATTCACTCACTCGATATTTCCAACCCCATGGAATTGAATATCCCCGCCAAGCACTCCTTCCAAAGCGTAGTTAGACGACAATTTCATCTCTTCCCAAAGAAGTTCGAGTTTAACTTTGAGACCGATCAGTGTGAAATCTCCCCGAACTGGCTTGTAGTCGGAGAAACCAATTGCATTTACATTCTCCAGATCTCCTTTCATCCTGACCGAGGAAAAACATCGATAATAGTCAGTGATATCGTGCCTACTTTCCTCAATTATGCGAACGATAGTTAGAACATATTCTTACTTGACCAGTCCCTCCTTGTAAATGTTTACATACGTATAACGTAGATGATAAGGATCGAGAACGGGAATTCCAAGTTTACTATCACCTGTCTGCAGTGTCTTCCTGAATTTTTCGAGGAATACCTTGAGGTCAATGGCGTGACAAGTGGTCACCATCGCAATGGCCAATATCAGTACGAAGAGACGCATCTTGTGCTGAAATCCAAATGAGAAACGATATTAGACCTTGTAACGAACCAGAGTTATTCTTCGAATAAAAATTGACACGATCATATTTAACTGAACAGATACTCACAGTTTCGATAGGTAACACTAGGTACGTTGTCCACGTTGTACAAAGTGTAATCTGATAGCGAGTCGTTCCTTATATACACGACCAGTATCGTACACTTGAACTTTAAGATCGTTTATCTGATGCAAGCTATCTGAATAGCGAGATCGTCGTTTGATCGATGAAGAAATCGAAGCCTTGACTCCCTTGTTTCTTCGTGTAAATGATGCCTCTGCTCCAATCGGAAATACGCGTCGTACTGATTCTACTTTTGATAAAACGGTGATCGGACGGTGGCCGGAACGTGCGATACATAGCCCAAACACTCGTGAACTACTTGCGATTTAGTCGTGAATCACTTTCCAATGTTACGAGAAATTAATTTCTCACTCTCGATATCAAAATTAATTTTAACGAGTAAGCATTATTACTCTTATCATTACGAAGAGGTAGAAATAGATCCTTTGGGGTCGCTCAATAATCGATAATAGAAATAATAACCGGCGTAATTCAATTGTTGCGAAAACACAAGGCCAAAACGTGAAGTTTATCTTATGAACGTCTCATACTTATGCCGTGATAGATTGTATCCAAATATTTCAAGGAGAAAACGAAGTTTTGCATATCGCCATTCGATAAAAGCGTATTGCCAAATAATTTTTAAACTTATTAATCGCGCAACGATAAATGTCAACATCTCGATAACGAAACTGAAACGCATACTGTGCGCTACCGATCGCTGTTTAATCCCGTTGCATCGTCCGCGATCGATTGATTAAACGGGAAAGAGGAAACGCAAAATTTCTCAGTCGCCGAAAATATTTTTGATCGTCCCCGGGATTGATCCGAGGAAATGAAATGAAAGTAAATCGGGAACGGCGAATCTATGGAACGGTAATTATCCGAACACGCGCGGGGCATGAGTTTCCATAAATCCGAAAAGGCTATTTTAGGTGGCCATGAAATTCGCGGCGGTATCGATCGTCATGGCGTAAATACTTGGTTATTGGATGGCTGAAATCGGAGCAATGAGAACGAAGCGAAGGTCCGACGCAAGGCCGTAAGCCGGCGAGTAAACTACCGATACGCAGTAAATCGCGTGACTGGATAACGTGGCCGGGGAAAACGAGGAAAAACGGCCAGGGAACATTTTCTTTTGGCGGAGAGGCTGTGCCGGATACCGGACGGAAAAGGGAGCAACGGGAATTTGATGCAGGTCGACCGATGCGGCCGGCCCGAGAAGAATAGCGAGAAAGAGGCAAATATCGAAATACATGAGTCGCTGCGAGACGCCTCATCGTTTCATCTCTCCTTCGCGGAATACCATGAATTCACTGCGAGATGGCATGGGTCACAATCATGTCGCGATGCGTTCTTCCCAGAAATGATACGACGTTGAGCGAAATATAATTTCTGACGACGCGACGCGATATTGAAAATTCAAATTTCTTTACTCGAAGGAAAGAAAAGGTACGCGTGGTTATGAGGGTGGTGCGAAAGTAGCTCCAACCTGGAGCACTCGACGTGCGAAGAAATAAAAAAAAAAATAGGGAATAAATGAGAGAAAAGAATGATTGGGGAAAGGAGCTTGAAAAGGAAGAGGGAAAGTACAAGGGAGACGAAAGGAAAGGATGGCGGACGAGGGGAGTGTGGCTGCTGGGGGTTGAATCGAGAGAAAGAGGGAGAGGGAGAGAGAGAGATTGCTGAGCGGCGTATCGCCGGCCGTGGGGGTAGAATGGGGTGAATTCGAGAGGGGATGCCAGGCCAGTTCTCCCTTACTTGCCACGGCTCGACTCGTCAGTGCGGCCTGAACGGTTAACCGGCCTACTTCTTTACGTGGTTGTTTCGATTTCCCCTTTCATTGTCGCGATCTACGTCGTCGTCGTCGTTCCTCCTTCTCAGCTCGTCGCGACCTCCGAATTCTGAGCACGAGCGATCGAATTTTGGCGGCGATCGTTCGCAGACCATCGAACGCGGGGATCGTAACCAGGAGAGAACGGATTGTTGTCGGTGTTCAATTCGCGCGACCAACTCGGTAAGATACGATCAACAGCCATTAGGATACCGGGAAACTCGAGAGAAAGCTAGGAGAACAGAGAGAACCCGAACGCGAAAGGAGCATCACAGCCAGTATACATATACGTATTCCGATCTCTCGCTGCTGTCGGTAATTGTCGTCGAGCTGGACGCAGAGGCAGGAGAGGCAGCGACGGTGTTTGCTCTCTTGGAGAATCTCGTAAGTCTCTCCTCTTAACTGCACGAACACCTAGTCAGTCTTCCTTTCGATAAAATCGATCTACGTCGCGCGTCCAATCGAATCCCGACTCGATCGCCGAATTGGCGGCGTGGCGACCGCATCGGGACGCGAGATACGTTGTCACGACGAGAGATCGACGATTTCGATTAGCGTGGAAGTTGCGTCATTTTTTAGTCCAGCAGAAATTTTTCAATCGAGCATTCCCTCGTGGAGAACGCTCTCTGGACGGAGAGATAAGCTACCGATGAAATGATAACTTGTGCAAAGTCGCTTTGTACTCGCAACAGATCGATTTTCCTCCACGTTTTGTCCTTGCACCGCGTCAGACAACAAGACCGATCGTTCTTTTCGCGTTTCGCGTCGTTTTAATCGAACGTCGATTGTTGCGCATCGAAACGACATAAGCAATTGCCTCCCTCGTGGATTCTGTGTACCGCACAGGTAAATCGAGGTGATCTCCCGTGACGGCGGCGTCTACGAAATTCTCATCTACAGAACGTGCGTTGCTGTCTTCTCCTGCTCGCCCGAAAGTAGTTAACCGGGACGATCGTCGAATAATTATTTTCGAGTACGTTGCAAGAATTGTCGGATGCTGTGCACCTTCGCTACTCCACGTAGAGTACGTGTATAGAACGCCACACAGGTATACCTGTATATTGGATCACGATACAACGTTATTTCCGTGATTCCGTTGTTTCAAGCGCTATTACTCTCCCGTACAAAATATCCTTTCAACGACCGTTCGACGAGACTCGCGAATTGAATCGCGCGTTGTTCAACCGTGGCAGCTTGCGAGTTCGATCGAGGATCGAAGCTCGACCCTTTTTTTTTTTTTCTAAAAACGATTCTCGCTCCCTATTGGGAGGGCTGGAAAAGGGACGGATCGATTTTTAAGGAAAGATTGCCCCGCAATAGTCCTATTAGTCCGCGTGAGTTACGACGACAAAGCTGCCGGATCGGCGATAAGATCAGCGAACGGATATCGAGGTATATGCGGCATGGATTAATGGCAGCTAGGCTTGCCAGCTCTCTGGCGATAAATTTCGATAGGCTTAAACTGGCTGGATACACTCTCTCGGGGATCAAACATAGGATTTTCGTATTCGAGGTCAACCGGTAAATCTCCTTTCCCGCGAAGGTCGAATCCCCCTTCTGTTATCTTCATCCCCTTAGCTCGAAATTTTGTATCGGCGGTTTTGTCGTCCGCTCGGGGAAACAAACGGAAGAGGGCCACTGTTTTATTCGTCACCCCCTTGCCGTTGGAGATCGTGGCTTCCATCGCGCGAAGCTTCGAGCATCGCGAAAGGCCGCCTTTTAATATTCTACGCAGTTTTCACGGGCATCTCGAATGAGGCTGACGGGGCGAGCGACGGAAAGGGGGAGAAACGACGCGACGCTGGGAAGACGGTGAATCGGAGCACGGGTATGGTGAACTGCGAACGATATGAAAAATCGGGCTCCTTGGGAAGATTCACAGATACTTATCGATCGTTCGATCGCAGGTCATTTTTTATCAACGAACGCACATCTGCATACGTTGTTCGCGCATCGCGATTGTTCATTATAAGCGTATCCATTGTCTCAGCAATTTTTCAGTCGTTGAAAAAAGAGAATTTCAAGATGAAACGTCGAACTCGTTCGCGATATGAATCGATGAAAAACAATATAGGTGCACGCATACTCGGACATAGCTCATGATTTGTTTTAAGATGATTCACAATGAGCATTATCGCTCGAAGTATCGTCGAGTGGTTTCGGCCTTAATTCGTGGCGATAAGATTCAGATAGCGTGTAACGCAGCTGGTGTATCAAAAGATTTCTAAGCGAAGACTCTGATCTACGAGACAGGGAAAGCCTCGGCAGAGATGAACGGTTCGACATTGAATTGAATTTAATTCAGAAGCTGCGCGAAAGATTCTCGTTAGTTTCGCTCTTCACCCGAAAAGCGTATGGTTTCGCGTGACCCGTAATATATTTAGCACACTCGGGGAGTGCAGCACTCTCTCATGGTCGTCGAGGGCGTTGAAAAAACAATGACAAGGTTATACACGTGACAAAAGGAAAATTGATGTGCGCGCGTTCGCTCGCGGAGACTCGTTTTTCTCGTGGTTTCTCGCGCGTCGAAGCTTTGTTGGATCAAGGGTCGTGTCAAAAGCTCTGGAAAGAGAAAGCGAAAGGGTAAGAGAGAGCCCGAGGAAGACCGAGGGAAAACGGCGGTCGCCGGGCAGGTTCGTAAGTAAGGGAAAGAAAGAGAAGTGGCAGCGGCGACGGCGGAGAGTGAAACGACGGCGTAAAGTAAACGTTGGACACACACAGGGGTAGCCTTTGCTTTCGTTTGAACTCGCAATCAGGTACCGGACTAAAAATAGGAACCGTGACCCAACTACGCTCGATTCCACAATTATGCATTTCCTCCCGTGTGTGTCCGACTATTTTTCACTACCCCGCGGTCGAATCAATGCACCGTTAATGCGGTGTCTATGTGTTGCGACGTCGTCGTCGTCGTCGTCGACGTCGATCGAGAACCATCCGCCTATACAAGCATAAGCATCGCTGAAAGTGAGATGAATTTCAGACGACGACGGGTCGAGGGAAACAGGGTCGAGTCGATAGTTTTTTCTCCTCGACGAATAGACCCCGTCGTCGCCATTCTTCGCGCAACGGCAAAGACTGTGAAGTTTCGTCCTCTGCGATTCCGTCTAGAGTTCGATTCGATGAGACTTATTATCATTAACGGTTTATAAGGAATTAAGTACGCAGAAACGCACACAGCGGACTGAAAGACAGCGCACGGTTCGGGCCGTAAAGGGTTAATACGCGATCTTTAATCCAGAATCGGATACGTTATCGGGTGTAAAATTGATCGCGTTACGCGAGCTACGTAAGCGCGATTCGTTTAGTTTGCATAAACGCCTAGTGTGAGGGTTCTCGCGATTTTCTAATAAGCCCGCCGCAATTGCAAGCTCACGTTTCCGCGCAAATTAACCCTCCACGATTCGGGTTAATTTTCGTGAAATTTTCGACGAACCTCGTTTCATTTTCTACCCTCCCTCTTGGAAATTTACATTTCGCGAGCAGTTGATCGATTCGCCGTTCGTCGCACTCGATGACTCAATTTCTACGGGGCGACTACGGAGTGTCCGTTCCCTCGTCAGGGTCGAGTATTCGATCCGAGAGATTCAACGTTATCGAGCGGTAAAGATAGTTTGATTGTTCTTCTAAAAAGGAAGTACATCTCGATATCGATAAGTGCCGAGATCAACGGCACGATAAGGACGTTGGCCTTTATTCGTTATCTGCGGGTGGATCTGCGCGCGTCCGCAATTCCGGCGAGCCGTCAGAGCCACGCCGTGGTTCCACTTTAGCTTGCCCATTATTCTGCTTCTTTCCTGCGAAATCGACCTTTTCGACACACTGCTCGTTGCATAAACTCTTCGTAAAAAGGAGAGCCTACTCGAGCAGGGGCGAAAGTACGTATGTAGTAGTTAGAAGAAAGCCGGTCTTAAAAAGGAAGGCGTTTATAAATAATGAAAAGATGGCAAACGACCACGCGACAAGCTGGTAACTACATATGTAGCTACGCGAAAAGGTCGTAACGCGCGGTGCAATATTCTCGGTGTAACGCGTGAAAGTTGGATGTCTCCCGGCGAACGATTTATCGGTTCGAGAAACGTATGGATAAGGGTTAAAAACGGTTGGAAGATGTTAGGGTCGTCGAGGGTGGGGATGGGAAGGTAGCTGGAACTGGAACTGCAGCCGCGGTCGCACCTGCAGCCAACCCTCGAGGCTCTATTATGCCGCCACATTCTCCTCGGATCCTTATCTAACCAGGTTAATTTATCCTTTCCTATCCCCTGCGACTTACCACCGGCCGCGTTCACCTTCTCTTCCACGGTAATCTACGGCCCCCTTTTCCACCGGGGCTTTATATCAGCTGACACGTAACCGTTTATACCATTTCGGGCCTAGAACATCGCGTGACGGGGCTCGCGTTCCTAAATTGCCAGAATGGCAGATCGAACCAGCCGATTGTCGATCACTAACGTTCGTTGCGGCCCGTTTCGTTATCCTGACAACGTTTCGACGCCTTTTCGCGATTTTACTCCGTCCCTTGCAGATCCACTTTCGAATTCACCGTCGCTCCTTGCCGGTAAACCAAACAGTAAACGTACGCAAAGAATATTCGTCAATTTTGTGGGGAAGAGCGAGCGTGAAACTGGTGTAGAAATTCGCTATGCGTTAAGTGAAAACTGCGATTTCAACGTAAAAGCATAGAGGATAGGGATGCGGAGCGTGCTACTAGTAATATGAGTCGGTCACTGGTATGACATGGTCGTAGGACCGTGATCAGTGGAACGAGAAGGTGCCTAGTCAGCCAGCAAGTAGAACGCAGTCCTGGCAGGTGCGACAATGACTCGCTCCTTCCTTCATTCGTTACACCGCGACCCGTTACGCTCGTTATGTCAGCTTTCACGACATATCTTCATCTAATCTTGTCGATCTACTTTTCGCCGTCCCCGTAGCCTGATTTTTTATGCATTTCTTATATCGTCACGTGACTTCCTCGACCGGCGAGGACTCGAAATTGCATTTCACGTCTTTGGGCTTCGTCTGATAAAACGTTTAGCACGGTTCTCAAGGGAAATCGATATCAACGAATATGCACGAGTGGCGATCATCGGGATTAGAGGTTCGTCGAAAGAGTTAACGATAGAAACACTACCGAAGAGACAGGGGACGAGGAAAAAAGAAGCGGGAGCGCATCCGGGCACACGAACGATTTTTCTTCGGGGCCGGAGCTGCATTGCGGCTGCAGCAGTTTCCGACGCATTGCCACCGTGAACTCGCGTCGAAAGGCTGCATCGAACCCGATGAGAGGCCAAGTGTCCGAGCGAGAACGCCACCGGATAGCGCACCGGCTGAGTTTACGCGTAAAAATTCAATAGACGAGTCGATTCTCTCTCCGGTAAGTGGGTCGA